CCCAGAAACTGGCAGCTTCCAGAAGTGCTTTTACGCTCTACTCTGTCTCCAGCAAAATCAGCATCATAGTATCCTACTAAGCTGTAATCACTTGATTTTCTATAAAACAAACCCAGATTAGTAGTACCTTTCAGATACTTGAAAATTCGCTTAACTGCTGTTAAGTGAGATTCTCTAGGATCTGATTGGAATCTAGCACAAATGCATACACTGAATAAAATATCAGGCCTTGAGGCTGTCAGATAAAGAAGAGAACCAATCATACCTCTGTAGACCTTCTGTTCTACCTTTTTGCTTACCTCTTCTCTTTCCAGAATGCACGTGGGATGCATTGGAATCTTTGATGGATTACATTCTGAGAGATCAAATTTCTTCAGAAGTTCTCTGACATATTTGCTCTGATGAATGTAAGTTCCTTCTGGGGTTTGATTGATCTGAATGCCCAGAAAGAATTTCAGTTCCCCCATTAGGCTCATCTCAAATTCTGCCTGCATACACTTAGCAAACTTTCTTCCCAGAGAAGGTTTAGTAGATCCAAATATGATATCATCAACATAAATCTGACATACTAAAATGTCATTCTTAACTGTCTTACAGAATAAGGTTGTGTCCACTTTCCCTCTGGTGAATTACTTTTCTAACAGGAAGTTACTCAGTCTTTCATACCAAGCTCTGGGAGCTTGTTTCAGACCATACAGTGACTTCTTTAGTTTGAAAACATATTCTGGATTTTTTGAACTTTCAAAACCAGGGGGTTGGTGCACATATACCTCTTCTTCTATATAGCCATTTAAGAATGCACTCTTAACATCCATCTGATACAGAGTGATGCCTTTATTTACAACAAATGAAATTAAAAGTATGATAGATTCTAACCTGGCGACTGGAGCAAAGGTTTCTGTATAGTCTATCCCCTCTTGCTGACTATAACCTTGCGCTACCAATCGTGCTTTGTTTCTGATGACTTCACCTTGTTTATTCAGTTTGTTTTTGAACACCCATTTTGTTCCAATGACGTTGGATCCTTTTGGTTTGGGAACTAGATCCCATACGTCATTTCTTGTGAATTGATTCAGCTCTTCTTGCATTGCTAGAATCCAGTCATTGTCCAGAAGTGCTTCATCAATTGATGATGGTTCAATTAGAGAAACAAGTCCCATGAGGGATTCTTCAGAGTTTCTGAAGCTAGATCTTGTTCTGATTGGATCTTCCTTTCTTCCTAAGATTGTTTCTTCTGGGTGATCCAAGCTGCTTCTGGATAGTCTTTTCTGAAGTTGATCAACAGAAGGTGCTGGATTGCTTGCAGTGCCTCTTTCTGATGTTGAGGGAGTGTCTCTGTTAAGAGCTTCTGATGACTTGTCTTCAGTACATGTGAATTCAACTTCCATACCTGCAAATACTTCATTCTGCTTTGACTTTTGAGAGTCAAGCTTATCATCAAAACGAACACTGATTGATTCTTCCACAATCTGTGTTTCTGTATTGTATACTCTATACCCTCTTGAGCATTCAGAGTATCCTAACATAATACACTTTTGTGCTTTAGAGTCCTAACATAATATATCTGGTGGAAGATTCATTCTGATCTTCTGGGATTACTGAACTTTCTTTGCCTCTGCTTCCATAGTTGGTTCACCCTTCTGGAGAGGAGATATAGTTCATTTTCTTCTGATGAGGACCCATCATAGGTTTCTTCAACAGCCTGCAAAACATTGGAGTCGGATTTTCTGTTAGATTTTAAAGCTAATGGCTTACCTTGATTTTGTGGTTCATCTGCTTCTAGCTCTATCTCGTGACTTCTGAGGGAGCTGACAAGTTCCTCCAGAGAGATTTTGTTGAGATCCTTAGCTAGCTTCAGTGCTGTGACCATTGGCCTCCACTACTTTGGCAAGCTTCTAATGATCTTCTTAACATGATCAGTAGTGGAATACCCTTTGTCAAGAACTTTGAGACCAGCAACCAGAATTTGAAATCTTGAGAACATCGTTTCTATTGATTCACTTTCTTCCATCTTGAAAGCCTCGTACTTCTGAATGAGCGCAAGAGCTTTGGTTTCTTTAACTTGAATGTTGCCTTCATGCGTCATTCTCAGAGAGTCAAACATATTCTTTGCAGTGTCTCTGTTTGATATCTTTTCATATTCTGAATAGGAGATGGCACTGAGAAGAATTGTTCTGGCCTTGTGATGATTTCTGAAATCACGCTTTTGTTGATCAAACATTGCTTTCCTGTCAATCTTCTGACCACTTCCATCCACTGGGTGCGTGTATCCATCAGTCACCATGTCCCACAGATTAGCATCATGGACTAGAAAGAAGCTTTCAATTCTGTCTTTCTAGTAGTCAAAGTTCTCTCCATCAAAGACTGGAGGTTTGCCACTGAATCTGTCTCTTTCTTCATTGTTGTCATTGCTGATGTTTTGATGTGGTCCTGCCATTGTGTTTTTCTGACGCTGGATCTTGTACTGACACAGTTAAGTGTTATAAGCTCAGAACCAGGCGCTCTGATGCCAATTAAAGATGTGAAAAACACAAGAAGAGGGGTTGAATTGTAAAACTTAAAATCAAATGCAGACAACACTGTATTTTTATCCTGGTTTGTTTGATCTCAAACTACTCCAGTCCACCCGTCAAGGTGATTTCGCCTCTCTCCAACGAGGTCTTAATCCACTATATTCAACTGAATACACAACTGCTTTAACAACTGTTAAAGCCTTCTTGAGTATAACCACAGACCGGTTTATCTCAAGGAAATTCTCTTACAGATAAATGAACAAAAGTGTGTTTGATGTTTTCTAATAAAACTATATATCACCACTGTGATAATATACAATATTAAGCTTATAATGAACTAGACTGCTAATGCTATTGAGTAGGCGTGGTTGAAAGCTTTAGCAATTTGAGTGAGAGAGTTTTCGTATGCGTGCGTGCGTAAAGAGTATTAACCTTTTCTTTTCTCACACAGTCTTGTTTAAATAGCCACAGAAGAGATACATTGGTTGTCCATAAATCCATTTCAATGATAATAACGTTCTTTCCTTTTTGAGGAGATCTTTGTCTTGGAATAAAGTCGTTGGTAATAAATCAGTCTTGAATGCTTAGTAACGTTGACACTTCAGAGTCTTCTCTGCTTATTGTAATCAAAATGTTCTTTGCTTTCTGCTGACGCTTCTGAGTGTTGATGACTTAGTTAGGATCTTGATCAGAGTCAGAGTATTTATTTGCGCAGATTCTGTTCATCAGGCTTCAACGAATAGCACATGTTATTTCATCTTCTGATGCTGACATATCTTCTGATGCTGATTCCATCAGAGTTTCTGTAAATACAAAACATAATTTTAAGTAGCATATATGTCTTATGTAAATCTTACAATTTATTTAATCTTGTATTTTGTTATCATCAAAACTCTAACTGAGGGTTGTAGAACCAAACTATGTTCTAACAACATTCTTCTCCCACAAGAGAACTTGGCATAATGTGCGAAATTGCAAGTTCTTGAAACAAACCACAAGTCATTCGATTCAAACCCTAAATTTTCTTATGTGCAAAAGCCACCTTTGAAACCCCAGATAGACCTTTTGATGCCTATCATTGAAGAGGTCAATCAAAATCCTAATTATGGTGAAAGTAGGGACGATACTCCTTTATTGGAGGTCTCACCTGATGCGAATCTAAATATTCCTAATGTGGAATCGAGCTTGATCCATCACAACCCTCTTAATTTTGTTTCATAATCGATTTCAGAATCAGATTCTCAGTTGTCCACGCTTGTGGGTGCTACTCAAGTTTCTAATGGTGTTGAAGTTCCTATCGTGGATGTTATTTTTCTCAATAATTCATGGGCTAACTTATCAGAATTAGGTGAGAAGCCTATTCCAAATGAAGGTTTCTTTACTTCCGCGATCTCCAATCTCAAGAAGAAGCAGACTTCCAGGAAAAAAAGCAACAATATAATACCAAGTCCTAAGCAGGACTTAAACAACTTTCATTATGAAATGCCTCTATTGGAATATTAGAGGTGTGACTAATGGTCCTTATAGATTAGCCATTAAAAGACTCATTAAGTTGCATCATCCTGATTTCATTTTCATTGCGGAACCCAAAATAGATTTCTCAAAGTTTCCAAATAATTGGTTTCATCGTTTAGGATTTAAGCTCTTTGCCTTCAATAATAAGAACTTGCCTTCTTTGTGGTGCTTATTCAATATGGATTTTCCCTTACCATCATTTCTTCTTCTGATCAATTTGTTGCTTTTTAATTTTTTTTGGACAATTATTTATTGGCATGTGCTAGAGTTTATGCCTCCACTAACCTTATCAAACGAAGCAAGCTTTGGTTAGATCTCAACAATCTTCAATCTTTAGATCCTCTTCCATGGACTTTTATCGGGGATTTCAGTGCTATTGTAGGTGGGCATGAACATAGTGGTAGAAATAATCATGCTCGAAGCCCTGTGCCTGATTTTAAGAACTAGTCGGATGCTTATAATCCCATCCACATTCCCACTTCTGGCGCCAGATTTACATGGTCAAATAAAAGAGATTTTCCCTTCACCATAGAGAGACGACTTGACAAGTGCATCGAGAATAAAATTTGGTTCGATGTTTGCAATCAAAATTCGGTTTCTACCCTCTCCAAAGTTAGCCCTGATCACTATCTCTTGCTGTTTGAATTCCATATTAATGCGGTTTGTGTTATATCTCAGTTCAAATTCGTTAAAACATGGTCTCTTCACATAGATTATAGAATGTTGATTGAAACGATTTGGGCTCAAGATGTTGTTGGTTATCATATGTTTGTTATGTGAAAGAAGCTTCAAATGTTGAAAAAAAAGCTTAGAGAGTGGAATAAAAACACCTTCGGAAATGTTTCCAATAATGTTAAAAGTGCAGAAGAGATTTTTGGTAAAATCAAACTTCAAATCCAACTTGAGGGTTATAATGACAATCTCAAACAACAGGAAATCTCATCTCAAAACTCCCTTTTGGTTGCCTTAGATATGAAGGAGTACTTTTGGAGGGAGAAATGGAATTTGGAGGGAGACGGTAATACTGCCTACTTCCATCGTGTCACTAAAATCAAGCACAAGCTGAAGCCTATCTCATTGCTTATGCACAATGATAGGGTGATTTCAGACCCCAAAGAGATAACTGATTGCACATTGAATTACTTTCAAATGTTGTTTTGTACTAACTCTTTTATTTTGCAGGATATGAGCATGGTGGATGATACCATCCCTTTACTGGTTGATGACAATATGAACGTCATTCTCACGAAGTTGCCTTCTTTGGATGAGATTTCTTCTGTTGTTTTTATTTTGAACAAAGATGGTGCATCGAGTCTGGATGATTTCAGGTTTTTTTTAATCAAACCTATTGGGATATCATCAAGGTGGACATCTTGAGTTTTGTTTTGGATTTTTTTCTCACAGGTTGGATTTTTCCTGGGTTCAATTCGAACTCCATAGTGCTTATTCCTAAAATCAAGGGTGTTAATTCTTTAGATCCGTTTCATCAATTACCATTTCTAACTTCAAGTTTAAGTTGATTTCTAATATTATTGCAGATAGGATTGTAACCTTGATGTCGTTTTGGTTTCCTAAGAGCAGCGAGGTTTTATTCATGGCAGACAAATTCATGATTGTATTGGCTTAGCTTCAAAAGCGGTTAGTTTGTTGGATTCTAAAGCATGGTGTGGCAATTTGGATCTTAAAATGGAAATTAAGAAAGCTTTTAATATTCTTAACTGGGATTTTCTTATCAAAGTCCTCCACACTTTCAGTTTCAGTAAAAAGTTTTGCTTTTGGGTGAGATTTTTTCTTCATTCAACGCATCTGTCTGTGAATGTTAATGTAGTCTTGCATGGTTTCTTATGTTGCTCTTGTGGTGTTCGTTAAGGCGATCACTTCTCACAGCTACTGTTTTGACTGGCCGAAGACGTCTTCTTAGCATGAGGATTCTTCAGTTAGTTTCTTCCAATAGTTTGAACCTTATCACCAGTTTGAATAATCTCATAATCCCTTCTCACATCCTTTACACAAATGATGTTTTTATTTTCTACAAAGGTAAATTCTCCAATATAAAAATCTCATAACTATTTTCAAAGATTATGCTGAAATATCGGGACAAGTGGTCAATTGTGGGAAATCTTGCATTTATGGTGGTGCCATGTCCAACTCTCGTCTCAATATTCTTGGCGCTCACTCGGGTTTCCAAATTTGTCTTACTCCTTTCTTGTATCTCTGGGTTCCGTTTTTCAAAGGTAAACCTAAGAAGTTATTCTTGCAACCTTTTTTCGACAAAATTATAAACAAGCTGGTTTCGTGGAAAGGTTTGCTGCTTTCTTTTGCAGGTAGGATGAAGCTAGTTAAATCCACAATCCTTGGGATGCTTAATCATAACATGGCTATCTATGCTTGTCCGTTTTTGTTCCTTTGTGATATTGAAAGGGCAGTGAGGATGTTTTTTTGGAGTGGTGAAACTTCTAAAAACAAGTTGGTGATCATGGCGTGGAACAACATTTGTAAGTCGATTGCTGAAGGCAGACTTGGTATTAGATCTCTCTTCAATTTAAATGAAGTATCAAATTTGAATCTTGCTTGGGATCTTTGCAACTCTTCGGGCAGCTGGGTTATTCTCCTTCAGAAACGAGTCTCCCGTAGCAAAAAACTCATTAATCATCACATATTCTCTTCCATTTGGTGCAATGCCATAATGAAATGAGTAACATTTTTGATAATTCCTCTTCTGCCTTGGGAATGGTAACTCAATAAGTTTATGGTTTGTGGCCTTCCTTTGTGTCTTGACGATGCTACCCAGACTTTGCTTGATGATCAAACTGTTAGCAACATTATGGTCAATGGTATTTGGGATTTTTCTAAGTCCTCCACCAACATTCCTCTCCCGATCCAGATGCACATTAGCAATTAATATATTCCCTCTGATATTCTTCTAGATAAGAGATGATGGCATCATTTTTCTGATGGTAAATTATCTCTAAAGTTAGCTTACGAATTCAAAAGAAATAGAGGCACTACTTTGGATTATTGGAAATGGATATGGAACAAGTTTAATCCTCCTTGTAAGTCTTTCATTGTGTGGAGGCTAATTCATCATAAGTTGCCGACAGATGATCAATGGAAAATAAAATGATTCTCTTTCCCTTCTAGGTGCGATCTTTGAGGTTTGGCAGAGGAAACGAAATCCCATCTTTTTTAGTGCTTTTTTGCTTCTAAGATTTGGAGTTGGGTTAAGAACATGCTCAATATCTCTTATGTTATCATAGGCTGGCCAGATATTTGGAGATTTCTTGGAACAATGTGTATTATTCATAGTAAGGTCATCTCTAAAGTAGCTACCATCTTCACTCTCAACTCGATTTGGAAGGCTCAAAATCTAGTTATATTCAATGATACTTCTACTACTTTTTATTCTTCTACTTTTTTTACTATGGTTGTTGTTTCCGTTGCCGATAATTCCATTGTTGTTGGTCCTCATCTTTCTTTACATGATTTTGAGATCCTTAAAAGGTTTAAGGTGACTATCCGTCCGTCTCATGCATCGAATATTTTGGAGTTTTTTTGGCAGCCCCCTCCAAGGAATTGGATAAAGTTTAATTATGATGGTGCCTCCAAATCCCCTTCTGGATCTTTGGCTTATGGGGTCATTTCTAGAGACAATGGTGGTTCTTTTTAGGTGATTTTGCTACTGTTTTAGGAGTATCTAATTCTCTCATTGCCAAAATTTCGGGTGCTATGCAAGCAATTGAGTTTGCTCATGAGAAAAATTGGTATTTTGTTTCGTTGGAAACGAATTCAACGACGGTAGTTAAAGCTTTCAATCCTCCTTATTGTGTACCATGGTTGATTAGGAATAAATGTCTTAATGGCATAAATCTTGTTTCTAAGTGGAGTTTTGTAGTTTCTCACATTTTTAGAGAAAAGAATAGTTGCGCAGATGCTTTTGCTAACTTATCTGTATCTTTGACTGATATCACTCACATTTCCTTTATATTTGTGTGTATTAGAGCTGGTTTTCTAAAGAATGGGTTAGGTTTCCATTATTTAGGTTTTCTTATTCTTGAGATGATCTTAGTATAATTCTTTATATATATATAATCTTATTAAAAAAAGTTTTCTGGACTGGGTCCGCACTCAGCCCAAACACCATACAGGGCCCAATCCAACTATGCTGCAGGGGAAGCCCAACAAGAATGAGCCTACTCTTGATCTATGTCGGGAAGAAATTCTTCCCCTCCCATCAAGGACATATCCTCCAACGTGTCCTCCAAGGACACCTCCTTGCCACATGACTACCGAGGATGATTAGCGGCGCCCATGTGGTCATTACGACGCACCCTCCTCGTAAGGCATGCCCCCAATGTCTTCGAATATCAGAGTCCTCTTGACCCCCAAAAGACCACGTCCACACCTCCCTGATAGTTCAGAGTAGTTCACCTAAGATAGAGACCACATGCTGGTATCCACTACACATGTAGGTCCTGGCAGTTCCATTTTGAGCCTGCTCAATCAGCCTAAAATAGGGACTTTGGCCCAGTGCTGGGGCTATAAATACCCTATTACACTAGAGGGTCAGGTATTCATTCACTTACTCACTTTTGTACTTGCACTCTTATTTATCCATTCTTACTTTGACATCAGAGTATCTTGTAGGTATACCCCCATCCACTTCACTTTTAACTGTCATTCAACTCAAGTTCGTGGGCCATTGACGATCCCTCCTGATCTGGTATGATCAGTGGCACCATCTGTGGGAAACCAACTTCCCCGTCTTCTTTCAATATAAGACTAAAGCAACCTTGAACCTTTCGATTGTAATGGCCAACCGAGTCAACAACGGTGATCAAAATATTCATTTTTCCAATGTTGGCAACAACAACAATGTTGGCGGCCCCGAGCTTGACATCAGGGACGGGATAACCGCACCCTCCTCCACCTGCTTGCATCTTCTCGACAATCCTCTGCGACAAGACTAAGAGCCCGTAATGTATCAGGAAATCCCCGTGCCTGAGAATGTTGATCCTGTTATACCCTGATTTCTTCCCCTAAGATCCTACACCACTCCATATCATTACAATGCACCAAAATCACACATTAGGGTTAGGTTTCCTCTTCTACTGGCTCCTATGTATAAGTTTTCCTTTGGGGGATCACCAAGCACCTTGAATTATGTATTTTGTATGTGTGTATCTTATGGTTATTGATTCTTAACTAACATAAAAAATATGTATATATGTTTCCATGAATATTTGTATTGTAGGTGTTGACACAATGGTATCTATCTCACTACCTAACCAAGGTTTTGGAAGGGCCAATTGGTTTTTCAATGGATCTTAAAGGATTTAGAATTCAAAGCTATGATTATAGCATAAAAATTCTATGATTGGAGAACCATCAATTTCATTTAGACCAAACTTGTCTCAAAGAGAATAGTTGGATTCATCAAGAAGATTCATAGGTTCATGTGTTTATTTCCATGCCTTCTTCAGTAAGCTTCATTGAGATATAGGCTCCATCATTAAGTGTGCTTCAAAATTACATTGTTGTAAGGTCTCATGTGATTTATCATTCCTTGGTTTGCAAGGAAAGTTCAAAAGATGCAAAGTTATTTCAAGAAGTTTGACCTAATTGGACAAGTCCTTGATTCTATGATCACGAGTGCATAGTTCTCTCAATTTTAAATATTTTGAGGTGGTTCTTTTTTCTATGTATTCCTATCATTATCTACAACAACTTTTATTCACATTACAATGTCCAATTGTGCAAAGAAAATCATTAAAAGTTGAAAGAGGTTACAAGTAACTTTTGTACTTTTTGAGTAGGGTTTGGTTGACTTCCAAAGACCATATCTTGCTCAAATTTTGAGAGTTTGAGGTGATTCCAAAGCCACGATTCTCTTCAAGGATTCATTAACATTTTCTCTTCAAGGGTCAAAGGCTAATCTTGAGAGGAAGATCATTTAAGTGTGGAAAAGATTACAAGTCCTTTGGAAAAGACATTGAATTCTTTGATTTAACTTCAAGGGATCATAACTTGGTCAGTTTTTTATCTCCTTGAGCTCATTATTTTTTCATAATAAACTTGGACGTGTCTACTATAACTTTGTTTCAAGGTGTAAGGCTTGAAAATACTTTGAAAGTCATTTAAGAATTGAAATGATTATAGGTCATTTGCGAATTCCTCAAGAAAATTTCATCAACTTCCTAAGGCCACAATTCTTTCAATTTTTATGGTTTTCGAATGATCTCAATTCCACAATTCAATTTGAAGGTTCTATTCCATTTCATCTTCAAGGATCAAGAGCCAATTTTGAGTGGAAGGGCTTGTACTTTTGAATAACATTGTTGTACCCCAAAATTTGCCCTCTCATTTCTCAAGATTTTTCTCACAAAATTTCTACTGGGTCAAGACTGCACAAGTACAATTGGGTCATATTGGATTTTCAAGCATCAAGTCAAAGAGGAAATTATTGAAAGAACAAAGCAGATAAATTTGATTTTTTGACAAAATTGAAGAAAAGCAAGCTTGCTTCGATTCATACTAGCTTCGACTGTGCATTGCTTCGATTCATGCTAGCTTCGACTGAATTCCTTCCTTCATGCTAGCTTCGATTGGGTAATGTTCCCCTCTGAAACAACTTGTTTCAATCTAGAGGTTTTGACTGGAGAGGTGGCCTCCTGCATACAAGTTTCATTTGGATAATGGCTATCCTGATACCAAGCTTTGATCAGACAAAGGGCTACTTTCACAATAAAGCTTCGATTGGAGTTTTGGTTTCCTTCGAAGCAACATACTTCGAATCCAACTCTGGCCCCCTTTATGCATCCTTTGGTCCACAAGCTTCATTCAAGTAGTAGCCTCCTATATATATCCTTTTATTCACAAGCATTAGCCTCATGCATGCTTATTTCGATTCACAAGCAGTACATCCTTCATGCCTACTTTTGATCCACAAAGCAAGTGGCCTCCTACATGCAATCTTCGATTGGGCAATGATCCCTTACATGCTTGCTTTGATTCACAGAGTAATGGCCTCTTACAATGTTTGTTTTGATTCAAGAAGCAAGGGCCTTTTTCCTGCTTGTTCCAATTCACATGGCAGGAACTTCCCTCATGCTAACACCACAGGGCATTGGCTATTTTCATACTAGCTTCAAATGGACAATATATCCCTTTGAAATAGTTTTCTTTGATTCCACCCTTGAAAACCTTCAACACACATAGTTCCTACATTATGACACAACTGGCGCATTCGAAGGACATGCATATGGTACATTCGAAGGACATACATTTGCCCCCTTCGAAGGACATATATTGGTAGATTGAAGGATATACCTGGGTGTCCCATTCGAAGGACAAACAACTGGCACATTCTATGAATTGAAAATGTTTCATTCGAAGGATACATATTGGTTGGGAACATATCTTGTTGTCTGAAGAGGAGTCTGGTTGAAGGTTGAACCTATGTGGTCAAAACGAAAGGTTGAAGGAGTCAAGCTGCTTGTGCTGCCAAGTACAAACCTGCTGCACTGGGCACAACACGCCAAAACTACTGCAAAGCAGTCCTGCTATGCTGCTCCCACATTTGCACCAAATTGACATATAAAGACTACACCTCGAAAGCTACAAAAACAACATACCCAATTTGTTTAAATCTCATTTGTTTTCCATCCCAAACCTCAGCCAATTTCATCTATAAATAAGATGTTCCACAACACATCTTGGGGGGGGGGGGGGGGGCTTTTGGTAGCTGGAGAAACTTTGGTTGTGTAAAAAAATCATCAAACACTTAACACACTCTCAAACTCAGAATAAAAAAAAACACACCTTTGTCTTTGTTCTCTCGAATCCAGAAGAAATACAACACTTGTTTCTTTTCTCTTTCGAATCCAGAAGTAACTCAACACTTTGTTCTTTCTTTCGAATTTAACACAAGAAACACAAACACTCGTTTCTTTACCTTCGAATCCCAGAGTATCTAGGGTAATGACTCAAGGTCCAGAAGCACCCACTCCATATTCAAGGTAAGCCTTCCTGACTTCACCCCTTTCGTTTCAGGCGTGTAAATAACATTTTGCTTATTTTTCATTTTTTACCTTTTCGATTGTTTTGTTTTTTGTCCAAGTATATGTTAGAACTAACCTGTACAAACTCAAACGAAAGAAAAAGTTTCCTGTGAATCGAAGTCTTAGGCTTCGCCCCTTACTGTTTTACAATGGCAAATAGAAAAGAAGGTGGTATGAATCGGAGGTTACAGACTTCGAGACACACTAATTTGCAGACCCAAATGAAAGGACATGGAGTGTGAATTGAAGGATGCAACACTGGTTGCAGGCGCAATCGAAAGAAGGAAAAATGTGTGAAATCGAAAGACACGTCCTTCGATCCAGGATGCTTTCCTTTCTTATTTTTACACTATTTTATCTTATATTTTCTATATATTTACATTTTCTTGCAATTCAATATGGTTGTAATAATTAGGACTTTTATTTGTTTTGCAACCCCAACTTGTACATTTGTATACCCCATCCTAAAAAAAAAATGTAATAGCGTAGGATATTTATTTTCTGTATTTTTATTGCTTTCATAAATGCTAGTAATTAGGTTGTGTATGGCAAGATAAAACCAACAAGTAGACAACCCTAAATTCAAGACTAAATGCATGCAATCAAATAC